CCCCCCCCCCATTTACCTTCTACAGGTCCAGGTCCTTCTCTACTACCTGCAGCATCCTCCCATCTCCTTCACCGAGCTCAAACGCAACACACTTTACTTCTCCACGGATGTGTAGCCTGCAGGCAGAAGGCACCAGCTGCAAACACTCCAGTTCCCTGCTGGGGGACACGGACTGGATCACAGCCCCCAGGGGAGACCAGCCCAGACCCAGGACGGTGCTGCCAGCAGCTCCTGTACAATCACGTTCCAGTGGCCCGGTCCCACCAGGTGCCAGGCCCTCTCTGTAAAGTAGTCGTGTCTTATGTCCCTTCTTGTGTTCAAGGATTGTTTTTATGTATATTTGCTCAACGAAAGAGGTAGTGACTGACAAGAGCTGTGGACACAGGCTTCCCCCTTGGCTAGTTTTCTCCTGGACTCCTTTCTGCCTGCTCACTCCTACCAGACACGTGTCGCCTGAAGCCTGCAGTGCCCCACGAGTGCCTGTTTGCTGCCCAGCTCCCTGCCCACACCTGCATGTGCAGCACCAGCTTGCTCTGAGGCCGGGAGCTCACGGGCTTCCCTTCCTGGTGACAGTGACAACAAGCTCTGCTTTGGCTTCGCTGCCTGCGCAAATGTTGGACCCTGTGCCTGGATCCTGCTCCGGCCCGAGCAAACCTGCGACCACGAGAACAGAGGAGCAGGGTGCTGCTTCCTCCCTGCCAAGGCTCTTCTGGGTGTTTTCAGGCCAGTCCCTTCTCCAGCCCCAGCTTTGCCTATGTGGTGTGGCGTGGCAGTTGCTCCCCTCGCTGGATTTCACCTCTGAGTAGCATTATGAGGTAACCCCTCACACAAGGCTGGAGCCAGAGGTGCTCTTGTGGTCTTGATCCACAGCAGGTTGAAGGGATGGCCAGCCAGGCAGGATTGCTTCATGCACCATGGGCTGACCCCATGTCTGCTCTGACTGATGTGGTCCCAAATTTCCCAATTTGGAAATTTGGTGGAGAACATGGTACCTGCTGTTCAGTTCTATCTCTGCCATAGTGAGGCACTCATGCCCCTGCCAGCCCAGCACTGCCATGAGCGCTACATGCACCCCGTGGCACAGCCTGCTGGGGCAACAGCTTTCCTCCCATCACCATGGGGACAAGATGTTTTTTCCCCCCTCCTTGGCCTTCCCTGCTGCACTGGGCACATGGCAGCACATGGCCCTGCCTTGGCTGGCAGAGGCAGCTTGGCTGCCAGAGGCAAGTGCTTTGCAGCAGCTGGATGGTCACCCAGCCTGGGAACCAGCACAGAAGGATGGGAGGAGGAAAGCCTTCATGGCCCTCGTGACTGAAGGCAGAAATGCTTTGTTCTGTCTTTCTCCCAGAGTGGTTGCTGCTGGATTAGCTGTGCCCAGCCAGCTCAGGTCTGTTAGTGGCTCCAGTTCTTGACCCCTCCCAAGCTGATGGCTGGAGTTGTCACGCCATGTCCCGAGGCAGGACAGGCTGCCCGAGTGTCCGGCTCCCAGGATGTCCCCCACACTCCCACGTAAGTGCTGGAACCTGTTGGGACACGAAACCTTTCGCTCTGTGAGCTGAGTCCATGTTCATGTGGGAAAAGCCCCCCCACCTCCCCAACTGCGTTGGCCCTGTGCTCTCCTGTGCCAAATGGAGATGGATGAGAAGTGACCAAGCATGTCCCTCACAGTGGCATTGCCTTTACCCTCCCAACTAATGGACTGTTCCAGGTAGAGCCCAGCCACGATGCACCAGGTATGTCCTCAGCCACATCCCTGGGGAAGGCAGCACCTGCCAGCCCTGCACCAGCAAAGCAACCAAGGAGGGGAGGTCTCAGTCCCCCTCCAAAGGGCTCACACTCCAGACCCTGCTCCTCTTGACTACCAGCTAAACAGAAGGGAAACAGCGTTGCAGAAAATAACCAGGCATCTGTCTTGGCCCTGGACCCAGTAAGGAGGCCGAGCTTTAGATCTGACTGCACTACAGATCCCTGTGTGTGTCTGATTTGTTACATGTGTCCAAGTCTCTGTCCACGACACTGTCATTCCAGATGGAGACTCTGTACAGCCAAATCTCCCCCCACGACAGTGGCTGGAGGCCCGGTCCCCACGGCCCAGCACAATGGGCTGTGGCTGTCCCCATGACTGGCTTTTGCTTGTCCCTACAGCAAGGAAAAGAGGGGGGTGGACTCTTGCAGCTACAGGTAGAATAGAACTGTTAATTAATATTTGACTTTCAAAAGTTGTTAAGGATATATTTTTGTTTGTGTTCTGTTTCAATTTCTGTAGATTATAAACTTTAAATGGCTGTAAAACCTCATGAGGAGAAAAAAAAATGTTAATAAAAATGCAAAGCCCTGATATTTGCACAAAAGAATCCCTGTGGTGTTGCTGTTTGCACTAACTGATCACCTTGGTATTGCAGCTTCTTTTTTCTGTTGTGGAATTTTTGCTAGTTGCACTTCAAGCCAGTGGTATAAGCACAGGCAATGTGCCAGGCAATCTTTGAAGAGACTTCTTATGGTTTGGGCTACATCCTTGCATTTTGGAGAAAAAAAAACCTGGACTGTCTGGAGCCAGCCTGTTTAATCAGTCTAGAATTACTCAAGCTTAAAATTCAGCTGACTTGCACAGCTTCTGGCCTGAGGATACTGAACAGGCAGAGGAAGGGACATCAGATCTGGAAACATCATCTGATAGATGACATGGTGCTGTCTCCCTACTTCTTTCCATGTGGGAATGGGAGCCAATGTGTCTCCAAACTGACCACTGTATCAGCCAAAACACATGGGTAATATTGCTCTCCCAGGTTAACAAGGGCTGTCACTGTTCTGGGATGCAAACTGTGGATGCAAAGGAGGGGAAGTGGGTGAGAGAATCCATATTACTTGTGTGCACTGCATCTGAAATGCCACTGCCTCAAAGATGAGAGGTAGTGTTTGCCTTTATGGAGTGGCTCAATAAAGGTTAAAAATGACCCTCTGAGGTCTGAGAACAGAGTTTGGTTAGAAGAGGAGAAGGGCAGATAGAACACCAATCAAAGAGGCAGCAGCTTCTTGAGCTAACAAACAGATGTTCTGATCTCAGCACCAATGTTGGTCAGAAGTAACACTTCACTTGTGCCCCTGTGTAACACTGGGGCACTTGGAGGTGGCACAGGGACGTGATGGGAAGCAGGCTGTGTGCAGGGTTATCTGTCAAATACTGGTTTATTCTCACAACTCTGCTTTCTAAGTTTCACTATCAAACTGCTGGAACTAATGGGGTGAGCCTGGGGCAATTAAAGCAGTAGCAAGATTGTACTCCCACAGTGAGGTTAAATCAGGCTAGCCAAGTGGCTACAGAGAATTATACTTCAGCAACAACCTCTCTTTTTCCCTTAAACTGTTTTGTTCATCTGCCAGTAACCACACAAAGGCTAAGGATTCTTTTCTGCTTTTCCCTTTAAAACATGGTAAAGAAATCTGGCGCTCATCTCTGTACTTGAAATAAGACAAGTTGTACAGATGGAGATTTGTCTTCAGATGGTATTTTAAGAAAAGCCTGGAACAAACTTATTTCTCCACAGGATCTTACCTCTCCCCAACAGAGTAGCAAGCTGCAAACTGGTGACTGTTAAAACACTTGCAGCACCTTCAAATATGTGGTAACCTAAATTGGTGCGTTTCTCCTAGAAGATAGTCCTTCTGCCTTCTTTTGATGCTGGCAACAGACTTAATCAAAAATCAGCCCCAAAGGATCAAAAGTGCTCAGAGTCCAGGCATATTTCCTGGAAACTGAAGTTAGCTGATCTGTCCTGGAGATGCTGCTCTGTGCCTAGCTCCATCCTCCCATGCTCCCACAAGCCTGCCTGGAGCAACTCGCCAGGGCTCGCAGCCAGGTTGCTGTTAGTCATTCAGAAAGTGGCCACCGCCACCCTGCTCACACTGGCCAGGACTCCAGAGGCAGTGGAAAGGTAAGCCTGATGGTTGTGCCGTGATGCAGGCTTTCAGCAGCAGCACTGGAACAGGGGATGTTGCTCCCGAGGGACAGGGCTGTTACCGGAGGTAGTAATCGACTGCAGCGGAGAAAGCGGCGAATCCTCCACAGCCGATCACCCCGGCCTTCAACCCAGCTGCAAGGAAAGGAGAAACAATGAGACGAAGTAGGAAAAATATTCTTCTTTCCAGTAACTTGTGCTGGCTCAAAGAGCTCACACAGGCTCACATGTACTCTCCCAGAGGACACTGCCACTGCCTGGAGCCAGCAGGATTTGTTCTCTCAGTGCTGTGTCCTCAGGCTCACCCAGGGGACAGAAGAGAACCCTCCAGTGGCCACTGCTGATTTTACTGTGCTCTCATCTGAGCCCTGCAAGTGGCTTGGTGGGACTAGGGAGGGATAGGAAGAGCAGCTACTGTTCTGACAGCTCTAAGAGGATTAGGTAGAGGACAGACACAATTTAACAAGCTCAATTAGAAGCACTTTCAAGAGCTTTCTTTTTATTTATGCTCCATAAAACAGGACAGGTTTTTTTTTCTCATGGAGAGTGAGAGAAGCTTGATATTTCTGATGAACAGAGCAGCTCTCTCCTACCTGGGGATTTTCCCAGATGTTACCACTAAAGGAAAGTCCCCAGTAGTGCTGCTGGATTAAAATCCCAGTGCTCCTTCCCGTTCACATATAAGTAGAATTTTCTGTTTGAACTGATACATGAGAAAGGAGAAAATCATTTTACACATGGTACAAAAGAAGAGAGTAGAGTTCTTTAGTTCTAATTTCAAAGGAGAGTAGCAGAGACAGTGAAATGGTAGATGTCTAGAGCTCAGTTAACACAAGAGCTTCTGAGTTGCTCTGTGTGTATTTTTGGCTCTCTCCCATGACACCACAGAAGAGTGTGGACAGCCACCACCATTTCCTGATTTTTCTTTCAAGTGAATTTGCTGATTTTCCTCTACGACCAACCGTTCCTTATCCACTTATTTTTGGAGCTGACAGTTCTGCCAGTCCACAGCACACTCTCACACTGGCTTCACAACCCCATGCAAAGAGGTTTACAGTGTGTGTGTTGCACTAAGAACATCGTGTGCTGCATAACCAAATTCAATCTTATCACAGTTATCACAGAAACAGGTCCCAGCAAGCACCACAAACCTCTGAAGCCGATGGCTCCTCCTGTAATGCAGCCACTGATAACGCTGTTCTTCCAGTCTGACTTCCCACGATACTGTGGAATTAGAAATAAGAGTCAATGAGTAAATAAGGAATTAAAAGTGTCTGCACTAACAGCAAGAAAGATTAAACAACCTTCCATCCCCTTCTCAGCTGAGGATGTTCTTCCCTCTGCTCTCAGCAGATGGCCCTGCACTCCCAAACTAGCAGGGCTGGGAAGGGAGGAAGGAGCAGGTAACTGGGAGAGGTAAGACAAATCCATATGGTGCAATGCAGTGCTGTGGGAAGGATCCTCAGGTGAGCTAGCACAGCCCCCAGAACACAGTCCTGAGTCTAAAAGTGCAATAAATACATGAGAGCAGCCCTGAGCCTGGCCATGTAGCTGGTCCTTGGCACAAGTGAGAGTCACAGCACCTGCTGACAAAGATGGACTATTTCCACAGCCAGGACATGCTGGATTTTCACCAGTGCAGAGATCTCTTTGTTCTGCTCCATTGTGCAAGCAGATACACTTTTCTTCTAGATGAGTTAAGAAGTAATTGTGCCTTTCAATTAAAAGGCAGGACTCAAATTCATAACAGGGTAATTTTCCTATTTAAAAGCAGATGATAGATTTACCACTGAGCTGCACAGGGTCATTTCTGGCTGTACAGGCCAGATGAAAACTGGCCTGTTATGCAAGAACTTTCATCAAAGGATCCCCTTCTGCATATGAAATTTTTAGACATTCAAATTACCATGTTGCAACTCACAGTTTGACATTTTACACAAGCACTTGAAGCTAGGGTTTTAAAAAGTAATGCCTATGCTTGCCAATACATTCAGGACTCAAACTGAAAAGGACTTTGCTATTGCAGAGTTATTTATTCTGTCAAAGAACAGCCGCTCTGAAGACAGATCTCAAAGCTGAAAAGCTTTGCTAGCCAAGAAAGGAAAAAGCAGGCTATTCCATTGCCCTGTTGCAAAGAGGATCTATGTAGTTATTTGGATCTAGTAAAAGATTTTAAAGAGTACCAGAACACATTTCTTAATGGTTGAGAGGCTCTTACTCACAGATTCTACCATGCATTCCGTGCAGGAGAACATAGCACCCACGATGGCAAAGTTCTTGGCGTAGGAGATGCCTCGCTGCCCCATGTCCTTGAGCACCTCTTTGGCTGTGGGCATGCGATAGGGATCCTTGGGATCAAAGCCCACATTGGTGTCAATGCCAGCTGTGAAGATACCAAATGCACCTCCCAGAACAAATCCTGTAAAAGATAAACAGAATGAAATTGACTTGGCTGGGTTGGAGCAGTACATTCCCTGCAGGCAATGAAGCAGCTCTGCTCCTGCTGTCTGTGAGTGCTGCACTGTAACAGTGGCAGGAATCTTTTGGTACTATGGACACTTGTGACAGCCTGTACTATGCTGAGGAAAGGCCAAGAGCACCTGTGTCTCTCCAAGGAAGGCAGGCAGAGATCCCTCCCTGGAATACGTTCAAGGCACTGGAGTAGGCTTAGGAGGAGTATCAAAACATGGGGGCTGCAGCCTCTTCTCCATCTGCCCTTGTCCCGACGCCACAGGGACCCCCGAACCACCCCACAGCTGTCTGCCCCGTCCTTCCAGCGCCGCACCTCCCACACAAGCCAGCGCCGCCTTGAAGGGGCAGCTCTCCATGACCCGCTCCACCATCTTCTGCTCCTCGCTCTTGGGCGGGCAGGGGATTCCGCCGAGGGCGGCGGGGTCCCAGACGCGGGGCTGCCGCTTGTCGCCCACGAGGTGCTGCAGCAGGAGGCTGTACTGCAGCGGCGGCGGCGGCGGCGCCGGCTCTCCCG